AATCTATTCTCCGGCAACATCAACACTCCTGATGATGGCTCCTGGCCGAATATTTGATTGAGATAATATCTCAGTGGTCTCTTCGCTGCAAATTACAATATTATTGTAATTTGCAGCGAAGAGACTACTTGATTTGAGGATGGTGTGTGTAGGGTTTTAACATTAAAAAACAAAACAAAAAAAACAACAACACACTGAACAAAGTCATTATCATAAGTATCGCTTTGTGTGAAACTCCGAGTTCCAGCTACCATGTTTTCCCCGATAAATGTACACGTCTCCTATAGGCCATAGTACATGTACACTGTATATCCATGTAGTACATGTACATGTTCAGTGTGGATCAAAAAAGGACACGTCTCGTACCTCTTTGTCTGTTGCCAGTTAATCCTAACATCAGAAGTGATCACAAGTGTTGGGATTTCATAACAGAATCACACAGATGTCCTTCCTGATTACTTTCGTTGCCGAATTAATGCATGCTGGAGATGACCAGGGCCCAGTGGATTGGAGTTTTGTTTGTTTGTTTATTTAGAGTCGAAGGACAAACAGGCAAATTTGCCTAATTACATGATATCGACTAAAAAGGAGAATAAAGTAAAAAGGCCAATGAAGGTAATGATACTGAGTCTAAGTAGAGTGCAAGAATCTTGTTATACTAGATAGAAGGGTAGGTGGAAAACTGGAAATCATGTTCGGAAACCCTTTCGCAAATAGGGCGTGCACCAATAATATATTAACGGATTTACAAACTTAAGCACGGTTCCATTCTGCTAGACCAGTAAAAACCTTTTAAAAATATTGAAACAGGCTCTTCATTTGGTTGCAAAGCTTGGGAGGTGCCATACACGCAGTTCAGGAGTCCAAATCCCATTATTATGATTATAATAGCCTGTTTCGACCAAACCGTTCCTAACATCATCTTTGATGAACATGTTAAACAGGATTTAGCATGTTAGTGTTCTGTGCAGCTCACGTTGCAAAACTGGAACAAACGTATTTAAAATATGGTGAAGATTCCTGTATGTACAGTGTAGGATACTCGTACATGTGTGACAGACAAAGAGATAGGAGCACTTGCCAGAATGATGTGATGAGCAATACCATTGATTACTGGAGAGTGGGGTACACAGTACTGCCTGTCACCACAGATACCTAAATACACCCTAATGTTTATTCGGTTTTCGTACCCGATAATCATCTTTGTGGTGACCTAGTACATCCCAAACGCCCTCTAACAGCTGGTTGTGTTGCTGAACACAGTGAGTGACATTTGTATACTAATACAAGTAGCCGATAGTGACACGGATGTGCGAAATACTTACCCTATCTTTGTATCATAGGCTTTCCACCGTGACTGTTGCATGTTTGTGTTGGTTGATTGGTTGGGCTATTTTAATTCGCACAATAAACGGGAACTAGGCCCAATGATATAAAGGCGAATGGAAAAGCCGCATTCAGAAAAGTAAGGTCAGGAATTTGTTCAGTCTGGAGATTATTACGAAAGAAAAGCTTAAAGGATCTGAGATAGGAGTTTGGTGGCCCGTTCAGTTGGAGTGTTATTACCACGATCACGGGCATTTGGAGTCCTAAAGTTACACTGTCACACAACTACATGTACATGTAGGTACATGACTGTACAATGTCATGTTGTTGGTTGACAGCATGTTACAAGGCGGATCGGATCGGATCGGAGGACACATTTTGTGTTCTGAAACATTGACCTTTACTACAACCTCCACGGTCGGCAGAGCCCCGGTCTTGTGACCATTTCAATCGTATGGGTGTTAGCCCTGGTTGTTACCCTCATTATAGTAGGGAGTTGTTTGAGTCGTCTTGTTTTTCGTATGGGGCACTGTTTCCGAACACAGTCTGTCCTCCGCCTTGTAACATGCTGCTCGGAGTGAGGGTAACATTGTCGGGCATTTGGTTGTGAGACTTACCACCTCACCCTCGCCGCTAGGCGCTGCATCTGCCACCCTGGTATCACAGGCATGGTGGTGGCCTGGCACAAGTGAAACTTCCTAAGCTGGTTGTGTTTCTCAACACGATTGTATAGCCAGTGGTAAGGCGGATGTGCGAACTTTACTTTTACTCACATAACACTAGTAGTACAGTGTAGATCTACATGTACATGTATACCAGGTACACACGGACTGAGTCGGGTTAGAATCATTCACAGGTTGCTTTTGTTGTTGGGTTTATTTCATTCTTCCATACTTTGACGTTTCATTGGGTTTGCATTTCACGAGTTTCATGTGTCCGTACAAGAGGCGTTGTGCCCCAAAATCAATGACCGTACACATGTTCATTGTGATATACAGTCTCGCGGGAGTTTGACCAACTAAATGTTCCCTAGAGCAACAGGTCTGGACAGTATTATTTACTGCAAACGTGTTATCATGGTAATGCAATGCATCGTTGAGGACAGTTGCACTCTCCAAGTTTTTCGTGCTCTGCTTTTCTCAGTCCAACTGCAGACGCTCACCCTCTCCCACCACCACCCCCACCATGCTACCATCCAGCATCCAATCACCTTCATTGAAGGCTCAATGCCAATGGTCCACGACTAGCCCTTGGCGGATTATGCTCGGTTAATTGCTGAATTATGCTACATTATGACATAATGTAGCAGAATCACTGGCATAATTTGGGCATCATTGTTGGAATTATGCCAATGATGGTGCTATACTATGCTGCGGACCTGCGGTCCAATCTAATGGTATGGTGAACTCAGTACAAACAGCCCTTGGTGGATTATGCTCGGTAAATTGCTGAACTATGCTTTCCATTATGCTGAAATTATGCCAATGAAGGTGCTATACCGTACCCTTAGCCTAGGCCTTGCACTCGTGTTGCACTTTGCAACGTTTCAATGACTCTGGCACCATGACAGCGCGGCTTACAAGGGGTAACATTCACCAGGTTATTTCCTGTAACATGCCTAAGTGTGCCTGGAGCATTAATCTTCAGCCAGCATCGTAAGGTTATGCCGACCGTCTGGTTTCAGAAGTCCTTTTAATTTTATGCCAGGGCATAATTTTTAGACAAAATCCGAAGATTATGCCAGGATATGCCAGCATAATCCGCCAAGGGCTATCGATCGATATCCACAACACGAGACTGCGATCTATCATGCAATCTATCATCATGGACATACTTGACATTGTACAGACCCGGGAGTCGTACCCCTTATATAGAAGAATTTGGGGTGGCAATGACGTGTATCGCATAACCTCTATACGACTCCCTGGTACAGACTCAGTACACATGTGACATGATACAGTCATGTACAAGGAACCTTGCATGCCAAAAATTTTATTACTTCCTTAGTTGCTCGTTGCTATCGATACACTGACATGTCAGTTTGTCCAGCACGCTTGCACTGCACTAGCACTGCCGGCTGGGCGGTCGCCAGCATAGACATTATTATTATAAATTTAATTAATTATTTTGTAGTCTGATGATGTAGCTATGAAAGCATGGTCTCAGACTGAGGATCTAAGCTAAGGCATGCATGCATGCCCGCCGGCATGGATCGAGGCTGTGTGTGTATTTTTTTGTCTTGCAGCCTTTGTCCTTGATCCGCCGAGCTGCATGCATGCACGGTCGGTCGCCCGCGCGCGCCGCGCGCCCCATGGCGCCAGACCATGTACCAGGACAGCTCGAAGGAAAAGAAAAAAACGAAGCATTTTTTCGTTTGAATGAGAGCGCTAGCGACCTGCGGTAGTAGCGAACGGTCGAAAGCCATGATCTAGACTGACGTCGATCAGTTCCAGTGACTAACTACATGATTATTGTACTTCATTATTTAGAACGTTTGTGCGCAGACTAGATATCCCCATCACTAGTCGCCATCCTCAGTTGGTTTCGTCGCTCACTACGCTCGGCATTTCCTTTGTGGTTGACCAAATCGAACTACTCCTGGCTAGAAATATCTAGTTTTTGAATGAAATGATCAATGCGATCAATCGCTGGCTACAGGGCGGATAGGTACCAGCCCACACGACAGTTCTCGCGATCGTGGATCTACGCGCTGCACTGAAATCACAAGATTCGAAGAGCCCACTGCCTAGACTAGAGCAGTAGAGGTGTCCCGTCGTAACCAATAAATCACAAGAGGACACACAATGGCAGAAGCTGACGGAGCGGCCGGCGCGGAGGCAGCGCAGACTGCGGACGACAAGGTGAAGATCATCTTGCTGGGCGACAGCGCCGTGGGAAAGTCTAAGCTGATGGAACGCTTCTTGCTGGACGGCTACAAGCCCCAGCAGATGTCCACGTACGCCCTGACTCTTTACCACTACGATGGTGAGGTGGATGGTAAACAAGTCAATGTGGACTTCTGGGACACGGCCGGACAGGAGCGATTTCAAACCATGCATCCATCCTACTATCACCAGGCAGAAGCATGCGTACTGGTCTTCGATGCGCAGCGCAAGGTCACCTACAAAAATCTCGATAGCTGGTACAAAGAACTGCGCCAGTACCGGCCCAAGATTCCCTGCATCGTCGTGGCGAACAAGATCGACGCGGACAAGTCTGTCACACAGCGATCATTCAACTTCCCGAAGAAGTACAAGCTTCCGTTCTTCTTTGTGTCTGCAGCAAACGGCACCAACGTCGTGCGTATCTTCAAGGAAGCGATACAGGCTGCATACGCGTACAAGGCCAACAGCACGGATGTCATGGATCAAATGCTGAGGGAAATGGAAGCATTTGCAGCGGAAGGCGGTGACTTTGAATACGACGAAGTGGAGTAGTGAAAACAGTGACATAATGGATGATGTCATAGCGTACAATAGGTGATGTAGTGCAACCAGATCATGTGATCCACAGACTAACGTATTCTATATAATTTATTGCGTCATTGACTTATGTACAGTACTTGTTGCAAGCCATTCTAGCCGTCGTCTTGGTGCTGGTATGTTCGTGTGTATGGACCTCCTAAGACTTGAACAGACGATGCCAAGGCATAAGTATTCGAAGTGCGTCCATGACACTGTGTTGCTATGTGTGAGTGTACATGACGGAGAATAGTAAAAGGGGGGGGGGGGGTAGATACTGCAGCTCGAGTTGGTTGTATGCATGGGGGGGGGGGGGGGGTGGATACTGCAGCTCGAGTTGGTTGTATGCATGGGGGGGGGGGGGGGTGGATACTGCAGCTCGAGTTGGTTGCATGCATGGGGGGGGGGGGGGAGGCTTCTTGCTGAATTGGAAAAACAGACTTTGCTGTGTAGCTCTACATGCATGAATATCATGAATATCAGCTTGAAGCACACATAATTATTTTTAAAATAATAGTCATGTACATGTACTTAAACAAGTACATGTACAGCTCATGTACACACACTTTCATTGGATTGGTAGATGTGCAAGTGTATGTGTGCATGTGTGGGGGTGTGGGGGTGGAGGTGTGCATGGATTATTGATATGCCTGAAGAATTTTTTATCATTGCGACAGTAGTACTGTACTTGGAAGTACATGTACATGACTGTAGTGGAGTTGCTTAGTACTGCCCAGAACATGGACCCATGTCTCACCAAACTAACTTTTAAGTCTGGTCGCTACAGTGTACATGTATTTCAGTATTTGCCATGATTATGAACATACCCCGGCCCACTGGAAGTGCTAGACTGTAAATTGGACTTCAGATGCTGCCTGCAAACAATCCTTACCACCTTACTACGATCCTTAGCAGACACCGGAAACTGCCACAATCCTAACTTCAAGCATTCTCACATTGTTCTCCTCTTCGAGGAGGCAAACTATTCTTTTAATTCTCAACAACACCTGCGAAATAATGGGTCATACCGTACCTGTGCCTAGTACCTACTGAATATGGTGGTCTGCAAGATTGTTCTACAGTACAGAATGTGTAGAACACAATCATCTCAACAATCATGATGACTGTTCAGTTCTGGCCAGAGAAATCTCGGACTCATGAATACAGACTAGGTAGTAGTAGCGCCGCGTTCGGGCGCGGGGGCGCAGACGACGTGTAGTGTGTACTGTCATGACAGTCTGTGTAGTGCTAGGGCGCCCAGCGCGCGGTTGGATTTCTCCGGTCAGTATCGTACTTGATGCCAACACGCGTAGAGCCACCATGGTCACTACAAGACCATAATGCCCCCCCCCCACCCCTGCTTTTTCCTGCCTTGCTTGAACGTAAGACTAAGAGATAAGAATGGAGAATATAATTTGTGAAGTTCTTATCAGTATTACGAACGGGAGTCATCCTTGAAAAATCATGCTTGGCTCCTTGGGTGGCACTGTCAACGAAATGCAAACGAAGTCAGTACAGTATGTATGTACTGAATAGCAGGCCAGGTACACGTGCAGTAGTACTACTAGAGAGTGAGGGATGATAGTTGAGATACCATTCATGTACATGTAGATACAGTGCTACGTGTACATGTACATGTACATGTACATGCACGCCGAGTTGACAGGACACACCAAAAAGTGAAGATGTAATCTGGACCGAGTCGCTTTTTTTCCAGATTTAAAACTGAGAGCTCAACGAGGTTCGATTTTTCCACTTTCCAGGCGGTCTCATCCTGGAAAGTAGAAGCTCACGACAACGACAAGATGTTCATTATCAGTTGGTAAAATGTAGAACGTAGCAGATAACTGCTGTATCTCATTTCTTCCACCTCCGTGGTACAGTACCATTCGTCAGCACGACCTGAAACATCAATATTATTATTATACCCTCCAAAACAGGCAAGACGTAATATTCATTAGCGAAATGCACTAGACTCGTTAGCAGCAGTAGATTCGTGATCACGGTAACTTAAGGTGGCGCTACACCTTTCCGGCACCTTTCAGAGGGTCAAAAATCGAATTTTGGATTTTGACTCCATTTTCGCTTCCAGACCCTCTGGGTAGGTCCCAACCGCACATCCCGAAAATTTGAAGTGAATTGCTTCAGTAGTTTTTGAGATATGGACTTTCAAAGGCCGCTATTGTCAAAAATAGTAATTGTAAATTCAAAAATTCAAATTTTAACGCATTAGAATTTACATTACACATGTTTTGCGTGTAACTTTGATTTCGCTGGCATTTTAGCGATGAAACTTCGCGGAAAGGCTGAAAATCTCCCTGGTTTTACCTTGCTGCGCCCCACGCAGAGCTGACATCACCATCGGCATCAGCAGTGCCAGTGCGCATGTCACCACACACAGTGCGCATGTCGTACTTCAAATTTTTGTAAATATTTTTATACCAGCATTGGCAGCAATCTCCAAAATCTCCAAACTGTAGCTCTTTATCAGTTTAGCTGCTTTGTTGGCTTTCATTTGTTTTGTGGAACCTTCCTTGATCACTATGGGCAAGAGGCAGTACGTAGGCCGTCCTGGTCGTCCAAAGAAGCGCAAATTCCATATGTGTTCAATGTGCTAAATAATTTTAAATTGTCGAGTGAAATTACGAAAATTGTCGTGGCAGAGGACTCTTCTGTGTTGCCAGAAGATATGGATGATGCCGAAGTCCAACAGTCTAGTTCTAGTGAGAGTGAGACATCTAGTGACAGTCACAGCGACAGCTCTGGAGATGAGCGCGACGGTGATGATTACCTGACGTTCGGGAGCCGAATTATTGATTTAGAATGTTTACAAAAAATTACTTGCTGATAGTGCCTGTTAATCAGCGTGCCATGGCACCCTTACACTATGTGAAGTACGTCGTGAAGGATTGGCTTCAACTCTATCGCTGGCCTGTGACAGCTGCGAGGCTGAAAGCCGTGAAGCTATGTCCAAGAAGACTGGGCACTGCTGGGATGTGAACAGAAAGTCGGCTACTGCAATGACATGGATAGGATGTGGGCATCCCTTGTGAAATTCTGCACTGTCATGAATATGCCTGCACCCATGAATGTCTCTGCATACCAGAAGCACACCAAGGTACTAGCAAAGGCCAGTAGAGTTGTTGCCACCAGCAGCATGAGCGTGCAGCTGCGAATACCAAGGAGTTGGCGTCTTCCCCTGATATTGCCGTCACTTACGACGGAACGTGGATGCGACGCGGCTTTACCTCGCTACATGGAGCGTTTCTTGCCATCTCGTGGGATACTGGCAAAGTCATCGACTACGAAGTCCTCTCCCGGCGCTGCCAGCAGTGCACAATATTCCAGAGGAAGCTGAGCAAACATGAGATCAGCAAGGAGCAGTATACTGCCCACGTACGTGGACATGGCAATGACCTGCAAGGCATGGCACGCGCGATATGGGCATCGGTCATGCATTGTGTTTCAACAGATGACAAGCCGCAGCATCAGTTCTGCCCCCCTGGACCAGATAGTTGGTGCAAGTGGCAGAGTCATCAAGCTGGTGGCCCTGAATACCAACATAAGAAGAGCCTTCCGGATGCAGTCTTCAAAGTCATCAAGCCTGTGTACTTGCGGCTGACTGAGAGGCAACTTCTCGAGAAATGCTTGCGTGGCGCTACTCAGAATCGGAACGAGTGCATCAATGGCCTCATTGGGCAGATTTGTCCAAAGACTGGCTTTAGCTCGTCAAGGACTGTCCAGACAGCTGTTGCCATAGCCACTGCTTGCTTCAACGAGAAGAACAAGGCCTTGGAGGAGATTCTTGAAGCGATGGGCCTGACAGCTGGTCACTACACGCGGACAGCGCTTGAGAAGCTGGACCGTGAGCAAGCCAAGAATGCAGCCAGGAAATCCTCAGATGAAGTGAAGAGTGCAAGGAAGAGGCGAAGGAGAGTGAGGTATGGTGTGGAGGAGCAGGCTATTGATGACGAAGGTCTCTTTTATGAGACTGGGGCCTTCTAAAAAGTAGCTGGCGTGGTGGACACAGATTGTAAATACATGTATTATACTGCAATTTTTCCCCTTTTTTTGGCTATTCCCGCAACTCTTAACCAAGCTACTGAGATAACCGTGGCCTGCAGACCCAACAAAGTATACATTTTTGAAATCTGTGAAGCATTAGCTAGACATTGAACCGAAGTTTCAGAGGGCTGCTCTTCATATGCTCATGATAGCACAGGTCAAACCTTTTGTTATTTTTGGCGGTTATCGTTCTTTTTTCTTCAATCTCCTGCACTTGCTGGCTTGTTTTGCTGGTGTCCCCTTTCTTTGGTTCAATGTCTTGCCATGTGTGTGTGAGACACTGCAGTGGCACTCATTTTATTGCATAGGACGCATGGTCTTCGATATTGTGGTTACAGGCGAACCTTTCGGCGGATTTTGCGAACAGATCCGTCACATGTATGCCAACAGTAGATAGATGGCATCTTTGGCTTTATGTTTGCTGTTTCTGAAACGGGTATATCCAAGGAGTAAATGCTGAAAATTTTATAAGAATCTGTTTACCCATTGCTGAGATATGTGTGCTTGCGTGGGACGGTGCCGGAAAGGTGTAGCGCCACCTTAACTCCATTATCGATGACTTCGCAAACTGCATGTCAGTTATCGGTAACGATCTTCATGGTCTACAGACATGCCCGGAAGCGCTAGACAAGATGTGCTTCCCTGAGACAGGTAGTCGAATATCAAGTGTGGCACGTACCACTTCACCTGTCATTCGCTCTTCACTTCGAAGTTCGACATTCTCCAAGAAGCTTCCAAGCTTTTCTACCGTGTCATGATACTGTAGTCTGTAGTGAGAAAACTCACGTACATGTACAAATAAACCGATGTGTTTTTTTTATTTCTCAATGTAAACAACGTGGATACACTCGCTCGTCAAAGCAAAGGAGCGATCTGTCCCCTGCGCGAACTCAAACCACTAGTACTGTAGCGACTTCAGTCCAATATTCTAAAATCGGAATTAGGGCCAACAAATTACACGACTGGAAAGAGAAACCTCTGAAGAACACGTACAGTACATTTCATGGGTATATCTTGTCCCAGACCGGAGATATCAGGCCCCAAAGTTGGTATGCAATCGTCGGAGGCCATGTATGCAATTGTATGGAGAGCATTGGCACAAAAGTGGGTTTTCCCGGACCTCATGAATATCATGCATACACAGTGAA